TCACCAGAGTGAATCTATCGTAATACGCTTGTATCGAATCTCCTTCCTTTTGATTGCATGCCATTATCGAGTTTGCATCTCCCTTGCCTCTCTTTAGTTTCATAAAATTGTTGAGGAAAAGGTATCATAACTGCTCGAAACTCGAGATGCTACCAGTCATAGTGCCTTGAACCATTTACTGTGTTTCCCGCTAGCGTAACAGGGAAATACGTGAAAATGAACCGTTTGTCCATCCTTAGCGACGTCATCGTCCACTCATAAGTGTTGATATGATCATCAGGATCAGTTGTACTGTAAAACTTGGGGATGTTTGGAATCATCGCCGAGTATGGGATCTCATACTACAAGAGCTCCTGATAGAAAGCAGAGCTTTTGCTTCTTACTGGGTTTTCCACATGTGGATATGGAAAACCATTGTACATCATGAATTGTTGAGCATAATACAGGTTCCCGTACGCTTGGTTGTACATCACTGCTTGTGAGATGTACGGTTGTATCTTTGAGCTCGATTGCGTGCTTTGCTGCAACTGTGAGTTCGATCACGGCTGCTGGAGGATGTACAGGTTCAAACCATGCGACTGTTATGCATGGGCATTGCGCTGCTGCACCAATGACGAGCGAAGGTTGGATTCTTGCGACAGTGTTGCTAGGGGAAAGGATCCCTGCAACTGCTGGAAGTAGGGGTTGAGCATTGGAGGTTGTTGAGCGAAGATCGGAATATGCGACATGCCTGCTATTGGAGAGAACTGATAGCTTGACATTGGATTTTGTGTGGAGGACAATATGGTTCCTGGGGACCAAGTGTTCGTCCCCACCTGCTGCGGTAGCGATTGCGACTGAGAAACCACCGGTTGTGACTGCTGAGTCGACAGTTGTAACTGCTGGGTCGGTGGTTGCGACTGTTGAGTCGCTGTCGACTAAGGCGCTGCAGTCGTGGTTGTAACCAGGTGCTCTGTTGTGACGGGTAGCGGTCGCCATTGGGCGGTGATTATTTCTGTTGCGGTTCCTGTTATTGGACTTGGTGTTTGTGTTATTGGCGTGTGGGTGCAGGCTTGTCCGTCCGACACAGATGGTTGTGTGCCGTCGAGCGACGACATTAATCTGAATGGACTCGTTTCTCCTCCGTCGGAAGCCGTAGGTCCCTTTCCCATCATTGTCGACGTTTAGAGTCGTATCAAGGTTGTGCAACTCTGAGTACACGCCCGTATGATGCCAGATGTTGTGATATGGACCTTGGGCTTAACAACGTCACTTGCTGATTCCAGTTGAGTAAAGCCTTGTAATCAACAAAGAGATTGTTGTCAGGAATTGGACCTGGGCACGAGGGTGCCAATCGAGAGGGTCCTAGCGTGAGGGCGAGGGCCTAGTTCTGGCAGTAGGATATATTTGCGACCATTAGCTAGGTCGTCCTAAAGATAACGGTTTTGTTTTCTTTAATGTATTCCTAGTGGGATACGTTAACACATATTGATTTATAATGATTTTTGTGTAATTTACCCTTTTATTGATCTAGTATTACCTCATAATTTTCATTCATGCGTTTAGTTTTATCTTTCATATATTTTCCCCACCAGTTTTCAAGTCTCTTTGAAGTATCCCTTGGAAGAAAAACCTTTAAATTTCAATGGAAATACGACTAAGCCTTGGTGATCGTCTTCTTCGATTAATCAATTGATCATATGCATTTGCTAACACAAATCATCAATCTCATATGTAAGCTTATACTCATGATCATGCTTATGTGTTGGCCGATGAACATACATAAAGAGATTGGTTCATTGGTTTTATACACATAATTTGGAGTTGTCAGAGGGAAGAAATTACATGCTTGATTGCTTCTCGCACTCGATCGTTCTCACCACTACCAACCAACTTAGCCTAATACAATGTTATCATTTCTTATAACGACGAATAACATATATAAACAACAAACATCATATCATCATCAAACAACTTGATAACATCAACAAATGCAAGAAGTTTGTAAGATAATCTAATCTCACTACTCTTATTTGTTAAAGCTATCATGACACAAGATTTACCATCAATAATAGGATATACAAGATGAATATTCTATGGAGCATTTCATTAATCCTAATATTATATACTTCAAAACCCCAAAAACTTGTAATTTCATTTCTATATAACTACATTATATATAATCATTAAAATCTTCAAATTTTGCAAACAAATAGAGATTTGCAAAATAATAGAAACCTAAAAGTTCTTTGCTATAATAGTAACTAGGTGGGGAACCCCCATGTTGCGGGGGTCGGATGCGACAATTTTTTCTGTTGTTTGTTGTTTGTAAATGTTAGTTGACAAACTATTTTTTTGTAGTTTGGGTATTGTTTTGTTGTCGGTTTGCCAAATACCTCTTAAGTGGCATTATCAAATTAATGTCTTTTTTCTCCCTTTGCAAGTTGCAAATGCAAGTTAAGCTATTTATCGAAATATATACTTCATGGGTTTATTGTTTGGTTAATGGGATGAGACTGGGGTGGTGGCCACGTCTTCGGGTTTTTTTTTTGTACCTGGATTGTATTTGTTGAACTACTTTGAGTATAAAGAATGTAAATAAATACATAAACGAATAAATAGATGTTGTACCTCTTTTCGTTCTAACATAATCTATTATTTATGTTATTAATGTTATTTGGGGTGTTTCCTCAATTTCATTAAAACAGCCTAATCTTACAACAAATTACTAATTAAATGAAAGGTAATTTACAACCCAATAAACAAAACCCTTTGAAAGCAGGAAACAGAAATAAAACTTAGCTGCAAAATTTCTTATCAGGACTCTACCATTTCAGATTCCAAATTTTCCCACAAAGTTGTTCCAGGTTCATGCATATCCAATTTCTAGCACCTGTTACAATTACAAATCTACAAAGGAAGTTATGTTTCTTTTTTTTGTATTGAAATCAAGATACATTTATTAAGATAGGAAACTTACCGTTCGCTCTTCTTTGAGGTAAAAAAACCTTCAAGTTTGGCATAAACCTTTTTAGTTATCTTCGTTGCTTCATCATCGTGTGGTGGGGCCGCAGACACAAAGGCAATAAACCACACCCGCTCATCATTTTGCACAATAAATTTGAAACATTAGGGATACTTTTGTCCAAAACTGTTAAAATAAAAAAAATTAACTATAAAAACAGTATGCAAGGGCAGTTTCATCCAAAATTGTTAAATTCAATTTTTTTAAGTATAAAAACATTATGCAGGGGCATTTTTGTCCAAAACTATTAAAATCAAATTTTTTTAACTATAAAAATAGTATGCAGGGGCAGTTTGGTCCAAAACTGTTAAAATCATTTTTTTTTAAAGTTTAAAAACGGTATGTAGGGGCAGTTTGGTAAAAAAAACAGTATGTATGATGAAGTTATAAACCTAGATTCTTCATAATCAATATATTTTGATGATATGAAATCATAAATTTACCTATTTGCATACATGATACATACACACAATTGCAATCAGTTGAAGAAAAATCTAAAAAATGATGTTAAAATAATATGTTAAATAATTGTTTCTTAGCATAACAAATCAAGAAAATGATACTTACAATCAGAAATTAATTACTAACCAGAAGAAAGGCACGGATTTTACTGCTAAAGATGAAACGCGAGCTTCCAATACCCTTCAAGACTATTGGTCCAACAACCAAGTGTTTGACAGATGTGTGATTTTTTTTTATCTAAGTCATTAAAGACATACAAAGACAAATTTATGCTTTTTGGTTAGTTTCTCCACATAAGAGATTTAGAATCGTGTTTATAGCATTCATCATTTAATCTATTTCAATTCTAAACATAAAAAACTGCATATTCTTTTACTGCATACACTGTCCCATTTGAAACCTAGATTCTGCATACACTTGTCCCATGTCCTACGTGTCTCAACCTTAGTCATGGTTGCTTCATATGGATTCACCAAAGGTGCTACCATGAAAGCACCTATATTTTCAGTTCAAGATAATCAGATTAAAAAAAAGTATTTGATTTAAAGAATGGTGAAATACCTGCAATTCTATCAGGAATGTACTTGAGTGCACCCCATGTATGTATGCTTCCACCTGAGTATCCAACTACCGAAAACTTACGATAAATTAAACATATACTTTGTCCAAATATTCTCCTATTTGAATGCTTCCATGAAGAAAAAAGTGAATGATAATACCAACCGCCCATTGTTGCCACTAACTCCAACTCAGATAACATAAGCCTCTTTGAACCCATTGTTGAACAATAACTCTGGCTACCTTCATGGAGTTACCATTAAAACTACCTTACAAAAAAAAACAAAGGAATCATATACTGATCAAACTTCTCATCTATAGAAAAGATAAAAGACTCACAGCCAACACAATCATTTTCTAGTGAAATGAAACAGTATATACAAACACTTTATAAGGAGGATCAAACTTCTTATTCTCTAGATTAATTTCAAGTTGAAAGCATCAATAACAGATATGCCCTTGTAAGAGATGAAGAACCATGTCGCTATTCAACAACCCTGATGATGTTAATCCAAGAAATTAATGTCAATCCTCATCTTATTCAAACTGCAACATGAGATAAACTCATTAAAATAACCAAAAAAACTAAAGGAATTGAGATGAAACTAATTCACACCTGAATAAACACCAAAACCAAAAGATAATACAGCGAAGTCGGCATGATTTACCTGGTCGATCACTGCTGTAGGAGTATCTATGTCTTTAGTATAGAGTCCCCTAAATACGGATGAAAAAATGTCATCTCTCCCTGCCAAAAAAAAAATCTTCCACGGTAACAAACTATTAAGGATTTTTCTGGCATTAGATGGTCAAAAACAAAATCAACAGGTACTGATTCATTTTCAGTAGGTATTGAAAAAAAAACGGAAAAATTAACAAAAAACTGTAAACGAACCTTGTGTTTGAAGTGGGTCTTTGGAACATGTTCCTGGGATAACATCTCACACCAAGCCGATTAATTAAGTCTAATTTGTTATCACTGCCAACGTAATAGAAAAAGAAATCGATGAAATTACCAGATGAAGAACGAAATCAGAAACAGAGACAATCACCTGTTTTTGCCCTAGAAATGGAAAGAAAGCAACAAACAACGATTTGAAATAGATACACTTATGATGGTTCAGCTCCAAACCGGTATTTGCAACCTCAATCTCATTGGCCTTGTAGTCTTCTTGTAGAACAGATTGCATCATTGCAAAGCAGAAATTGCAGTCTACAGTCAAACATGGGATGCATCAAGCATATGTCAATGTTAAATACAATTACACAATAGTTGCAACTCAAAGAAAGTGTAGTAATTCACCTGTACAGTTTCATCATAAGTAAATTGAGGGTGTCATTTTTCCATTTATTCTAAAGGAAATTAATAGCCTCTTGCTCTTTCAATCCAACACTTGTTGCCTACAAACAAAATTCAAAAACTACATCAGATAACAAATTTATATCTTTTTCTAAATCCATTACAAAATTCCACACACCTAATGTCCAAAGAAGTGACCTGCTGGATCACATTTGAAGAGTTTAGACCCATTCTCATCATCAATACCCAACAACATAGCCACTGAAGTTCAAACAAATCAATAAAATCATGCACATTCACAAAAATAAGCAACTAATAACAACTTCACATCTAGAAACTAACCTACTCCAAGTGGTCTCATGTAAGCATGTTGAGTATAAACTTGTGATTTGTCAGCAATCCTGCAACATATAGATTTATCAACATAAAAAATGATATGACATAATCTGATAAACGGAACTCAAAAAAACTGTAGGATTAATACCATCTTGCTAATACATAAACAACCATCTCATAGCCATATTTACAACGAAACTCAACTGCTTCATTTCTTGCCTGTGGAACCAATGTCTTTGCATCAGCTGAAAATATGTACAAAACATTATTTATTAGTTATTATTCTTGCCCTACACAAAAATATTTGATTTGAGGCTGCAAATCATTGAGAAAATAACCTGTAGTTCCAGTAGCTAACAATCCAAGGAACTTGGTGACAGGGAAAAGATTTGTAAGGTTGGTTGGATCCAAGAGCTTCCAATAAAAGGGAATCAAATCTTCAAGTGGTGAAATGAAGTTTTTTGTACACAGTTCAGCATATGTTTTGGCTGGGACATACAATGAAAATAATAACTAACCTTTGCATTTTAACGAACACTTGGGGTGCAATTACAATGGTTGCTGGTTTTGTAGATGTTGAAAGTTGCTGATCTTTAACCCTCTGCATCACTCCCTAACAATCCCGTCCCCATGCCTATGGTTGTTATCATCTGATAAAAAAAATTGAAAAACTTGCTTCAAGCATTTTATCGAGCAATTGGTGTGCATCCTAAGAGCTACAATCAAATCTCATATACTCGATTTTGTATCATTCAAAAAACTAATCAATCAAACTATAGAAAAAGAGAAAGAAAAGAAGAAGTCGAGAAGGATGGTGAAAATCGAAAATCGAAACCTTACCAAATGATCGACTGCACTGTATGAACGGTTTAGATGTACAAATTCATCAGGAAGGTGGTGAACGAACGAAACATATGGAAGCAAAGAACAAACATGAAGTCGGTGGTGTGGTAGAGTGGAAACATCTGCGCTGTCGGAACAACTCGATCTAGTAAGAGCTATGTAGAAGGGGGAGGTGAGACATCGTGAAACGAAAACATAAAAAAGTTGAAGAAAAACAAACCTGTAACTGTAGGGTGCAAAGGTCACCGGTCGAAGGTTTCACATGGGGGGCGACGACACACGGTGGAGAGCGGATATCTTCATCCCAGATGCTTCAATAAAACCCCAAAGTTGAACGATTTATTCATCTGTTTAACCTCAATTTGATGGAGCACTGATTCTTGTTGGATGGCTGTGGCGATGAACATTATCCAAGAAAAGAGGAAAAAGAACGGAAGGTTTGTTATCCGAGGAAAGAGGAAAAAGAACAGATGGTTTGGATAAGGAACGGTGGTAGGAAGAAACTGGAAGAATCGATTACCTACAGCGGTATGCCGCCGTCTAGGGCAGTGGATGGAACCATCCAGAAAGCAAGAGAAAGAGAAAGAAAGAGATATTATTAGAGAAGGAAGACAAGTCGGTGGAGAAAATCGAGAAACATCTAAGAATGTTGATAAGTACATAAAATGCCCACGAACTCGAAATTGCAACCAAACACATAAACAGGGGCCATTTTTGCCAACATCTTAGGAACTTTACTGTTCTTTTTCTTCATAACTTTAATATATATATATATATATATATATATATATATATATATATATATATATATATATATATATATATAATAAGTTTACAAACTAAAAGCCATTTTCAAAGACCATTTGCAAAGACCATTTTGCAAAATATATAATGTTTTTGGTGAAATTTTTTTAAAAGAGGGCGATTTCGTGATAATCCCGATTATATTTTGGCCATTGATTGACCCCTTGGAATTTAACCTTTGGAATTTAACCTTTGCAAGGGGTCAAGGGCCCAATGCTTTATTGTTAACTTTGTATTAGTTAAGGGTGTTTTAGGTATTTACTATAGCTAAAGTATTGTTAAGAGATAGAGAGAGTAAAAACTGGAGGCGGTTTTCACGGCAGAAAGGTAAAACACAAGGAGATGTCAACTCTGCAAATGCTCCTCTCAAACTCCCTCTAATTTCCTTTCACCTCCATCTCTCTCTCTCTCTCGACTGCAAAACCACACATCTACACACACGACGCAAACGCAATGGGATCGGCGGACGTTGGTTACGCGTCATCCAATGACGGAGCTCAACCGGCGCAATCTTCACCTCACAAACCGCAACCTTCTCCTCCTCCTGCTTCAGGTATTGTTAATATTATTCGATCTCTTACCTTCTGATCTACTTTTCACCATAAGTTTCCGAAAATGTCTATTCTCGTTTTCTAAGGACATTGTAGCTGAATGTGTAGATTCAGCTATGCAGATTCTCAAATCTATACTGCTTGTCATTAATGAGATGCAATTTGATTTTTGGATTTCTTCTTATGAAACTCTGATGAAATGGATGTTTATTAGGTTTAAAATAGATAGACATCTGTTAGAATTGAATGAAGATGCGGCTCGTATATAAGGTAGATAGTTATTGGAAAGAGATTATTAGATTAATTAGAAATTACGTTTCTCATACGTTGTTTCTCATTAGCATTGATCTGGATAACCTTACACGGTGTCTTTTACGTGAGCTAGTATAATTGAATTTGCATATAAATGGCGAGAAGCTAACAGTAGAATATCTTGTACGTTACATTAAATGGTTGTACAACTCCCTTCAGCCCCAAGACGTAGTCCATGGTTCATTAATGTCCTACAGAATGTTACAACTAACAAAATCCAAAAAACTAGTTCTACAGCTATACAAATCAGTTACGAAATTTTACAATGTCTGCAAGTAGTACAAGGAAACTTGATCCAAACTTTACGTTTAGATTTTTTTTTTTGGCAAGAACAACAAAGTACTTTATTAAATTCTCCTAGCAAATTTATCTTCAACAGGTATCCCAAATCTATTAATCCTGATGTTGCTATGACATGGTTGCATCAATTTTGTGAAATCTTTTACCATAAAAATCAAACTGGTCAGCTCCACAGGACCACAACTTCGAGAATAATGTGATACAGATATAATTCAAGGAGGAAAAGAATCAGTTAGAGTTAGATTAACAGACACTAGTAGTTTCAAGTAGAGAAACCAAGAAGAATGAGACAAGTGGAAACAGATGAGTGCATTATGTTGAAGAAGCTTGAAACTTGTTTTAATTTACTTTACTATGCTGCAGTTTTCTTGTTTCCTTTTCCTTAGATTTAAATTCCATCCCAGTCTCTGAAGCATTAATTTTTTTTCGTGGATTTAATATTCTAAAATGTTTTAATAATGATGTCATTATATGTCCAAGACTACCCAGACACCACATACCTGAGGTTTCTCGCGTCAAATGCTGAAGCTGGTTCAATCATTGGAAAGGGTGGATCAACAATCTCTGATTTCCAATCACGATCCAATGCACGAATTCAGTTGTCTCGAAACTATGAATATTTTCCAGGAACTTCAGATAGGATCATCATGGTGTCTGGAACTATTGATGAAGTTCTTGATGCTGTGGAACTTATCCTCACCAAGTTGTTGAATGAAGTAAGTAGTCCTCATAACACAAGTAACATTTGATTATTTACATGACATTCTCTTTAAAGGCATCAAATATTGCCAATTAGTTTTATGCTGAAGATGGTGAGGAGGCTGAACCAAGATCAAAAGTTAGGCTAATTGTACCGAATGGCTCTTGTGGTGGAATCATTGGAAAGGGAGGATCTATGATAAAGTAAGAAATCAGAATCTTGCTTTTCTGCACATAATAACTGTTATTGACATTTTAGTTTTTTTTGAAAACTTGTTTTTGTTTAATTCAGGTCATTCATTGAAGATTCACAAGCTAACATTAAGATATCCCCTCAAGATAACAACTATATTGGGATGAATGATAGGTTGGTAACAGTAGCTGGCACCTTACAGCAACAGGTGCAAGCTACTAGTCTGATTCTCTCAAGATTGTCTGAAGATCTTTACTACGTACAGTCTGTGGGTCCCCCATTTCCATATGCTGGTACCCTTTCTTTTACTTAAATATATATCAACTTTAATCTCATATTAGTATTTTTTTTTTTTTTTTTGCTTATTCCATTTTTACCCTTTTGCTTCTACAGCACCTTTTTACAGTGTACCAAACTATGGACCAAATGGTGCTGGTAAAAAGTTTCAGAACAATAAGGTCCGTTCATTATTTTCCTCCTTGTTTCACTGTGGTTGAAGAAGCTATGTGGTGATTATAAAAAAAAATAAAAAAATATTTGTATTTTGCAGGAAGATATGAGTAATTCAGTGACTCTGGGCGTTGCAGATGAGCATATAGGAATTGTGGTGGGCCGTAGTGGTAGAAATATAACAGAAATTAGTCAGATTAGTGGAGCTAGGATTAAGATATCTGAAAGAGGTGATTTCATAAATGGGACATCTGATAGGTATGTTATATTCTATGTAGCTTTTTATTAAAGTCATTTAAAAAAAAAAAAAAAAACCAAGTGCACCTTTTAATTTATTAATTAATTATTTTGTTGCAGGAAAGTAACGATTACTGGATCACAAAGGGCAATAAATGTAGCAGAGGCTATGATAATGCACAAGGTTGCATCGGCTTCATCTCCAACTCTAGCTGCGACTACTGAAAACTGAAAACTGATAACGAGGTTCTCTCTTTCTGTCAGTTTAAACAGGAACTTTTGCCATAAATCATTTTTATCATATAGAGTTGAAACAAAACATATTGTCATCTTTGCTTTCGTATTTTACTAAATTTATGACCACAAAATACACAGAATGAGGAACTTCTTATAATCATGCAAATTCTTACAAGTAAATATGAATTTGATGCAATTTATTATTCGGCTTACTAATACCATAAACTGATTAATATGAGAAATTAAATTTCTTTTAGTAATAATTTTGTTGTTGAAAATTTGGTTTATGGTTCATAACCACCGGCATCATCACCTCCGTATCCTGATCCATATCCCTCTCCATATCCAGAGCCGCTCCCATATCCTGAACCTTGCCCATTACGGCCACCTCCACCGCCTCCGCCTCCACCGCTGCCGCTACCACCACCACCATTTTTACCGCCACCACTTCCGTATCCAGAACCACTTCCACTGCCATAGCCTGAACCACTTCCTGACCCATTCCCACTTCCACCGCCGCCACCACCACCACCACCACCGCCACCACCACCGCCACCACCGCCACCCTTGCCGCCACCTGAACCATATCCTGAACCACTTCCAGACCCATAGCCTGAGCCTGATCCACTACCACTTGCTGACCCTCCACCACCTCCACCACCACCACCACCACCGCCTCCTCCACCACCACCTCCTCCTCTACCTCCACCACCACTTCCGTATCCAGAGCCACTCCCTGATCCATAACCTGACCCGGAACCCTGGCCATTCTCTGCAACGCCAGAACCACCACCACCTCCTCCTCCTTGACCACCGCCACCTCCTCCCCCTTGACCATCGATCTTCTTAGACGATCTAGCAGCAAACCCAAGGTCCACAAAAAATAACACCAAGAATGCAATGGCTATGATTTTTGACTTTGAGTTTGCCATCTTCAAACTCTGTACAACTAGAGTACCTCACTTGTGTTGTGTATATGTTCTCGAGCAATGCAATACGAGTTGTGAGCTCAATGTATATATGTGTGTTTTAGACTAATAAGATACAATGAGTTGTGTGGTACAAACAAGAGCAGGAGACTTGGCTATTTATAAGCATTGCAAAACGCAAAATTCAAAAAGGTTTTCTAACTTTGAATGAGTCTGGTATTCTAGTAGCTTCCAAATGATGGGTGATCGAAATGAAGTGTCTGATTTGAGATAAAAAGATAGTGGTGCTGGTGCTGGTGGAGGTGGGTGGGCGGTGGTGCTCTCTAGCTATGCTATCTCTTGTTGTCCATGCACAGTCATCATAAACCCTTCACTAAAGTGTTCTTCCACTTTTGACAAAACAAGCTTCACTATTTGTCAATCTAATCTTTTCACACAACTACACTTGTCAATAATCCTCCCACATTTAATTTCTTTTTTAAATATTCCAAACAGATAAAGTAGTTATTGGAATATTACGAAGCGTGCTTAACAATGGTAGTTATAAATCATGTAAATATGCCATTGCACTTATATCAATTATAAGATTTAATAACATAAGTTCTAAATTTTGAATAAATAAAATGAAAAAAGAAACAATTTAACAAAGATGGTAATATGATATAACCATCTTAATTATCTGTTAATTTATAATTCATGTTCGTCTATTTGTTTGATTTTGGATAGAAGTGACATATTGGACATGATTTTGAATATATGTGTACAACTACAATACTACAATGGGCTAACATCGAGCTCCTGCGGGCACTTATCACGGTATCACCTTAAAAATAAATTTTAAAAAATTGTAAGCTTATATTTGCAATTTTGTCTTCTCGTAATTCTTGAAGAAAAAGATAACAAAAGAGCGAAGGATTAAAGAAATCCATTTGACTTATGTGTTGAAATGATATAGGTCATGTTTATTATTTTGATTTTATTTCCATTCGATGATCCACCGAGTATCGATTCCACTCCTATATCTGCTGTTGTCGTTTTACCAAACAATCTATCATGTCATATATATACGTGTATTTATAATATAAACATATGACCACATGTTAGTTTTATTGTATGTTGGTTGAAAAGCAAAATTGATTTAAAGGGTTCACGCGTGACAGATGTAGGAAGCATAGAGAAGGCAATTGATTTCATCTAAAAGGAATATTTAAGGGCACAAGTGCATATCCCACTTTGACTTTGAAATATGAAAAGGGAATGCATTTGTTTTCTTGTGTAATTAACTTTTTTGGTCCACAACCCTAAACAGTATCATGCCGCCAACCTCAACATGCGACACGTCTAAGTACGGAACCAAGATTTTAAAATCATGGGACTTAAAAATATGTATTTTATAATAAATGATGATATTTAGCTAGTTTCTCACTTTCTCTGCATCCACTTGCCCCTTACTGCTTTGCCAACTATATCGTTCTAGTGGCTGAGCCCAAAGTTTTTTCCAGAGTACTTGGATTTCTGGTGGCGGAGCCCAAAGTTTTTATAATAATAGGGTATACTAATTTTATTTTTAGGGTAGCCCAAAGTTTTTTCAATAGTATTTGGATTTCCCCGATTCAGATTCAGTTTTGGTTTTAAACCTAAACCTTAATTAAATCTTTAGCTAACCTCAAGTCTTGTTATATAAGCATAAAGTTGAAGTATATTTTGATACTTGAGTCGATGTGAGACTCAAAGTAGATATCAAAATATTTATATAATAGACGAAAATGGCTGAGTTTACATGTGTTTGGCGATGTGAGATAAAATAGCTAGGAAAAAAAACAAAGATAAACAAAAGATATGTAAGGAGCTAAAATCGATCATAAGACCTTTGCTTCAATAAGACAACGCCTTAACCACCAAACCAACTATTTGTTTGTGTTTATTAGTGAAAGGATGCGTATATGAACACTATATAAAACGAAATTTTCCTAAAAAAATTACACTACTGAAACTATTTTGAGGGGCATCCCGGGCTACACCAGTATCCCCTTGGATCCACCCATGTATCGTCCTGGCCCACAAGGAAGATCGTGCACCAGATTACCCAGGTACTCAATTGCCAATCGGGTTGAATGAACGATCCTGATTAGCAACGAGCTTACCACATAAGAGTGAGAACTACAACTATGAGTTATCCCTACGATGGCAACGCAAGACTTGAACCCGAGTCAATTATTTAATTTGTCTAAAAACCGAAAACAATCCCCTCTTTGTTAGGGTGGATATTTGGTTTTAAACCGAATACATCGAAAACTAAAACCAAATCGAAACTGAATTCAGACCAAACAAATTTCAAATTTGGTTTTTGGTTTGGTTTCAGACCAGACCGAATTATGAATTTGATTTATGGTTTGAGTTAATGGTCTAATCGAACCAAATTACCAAATTTAATTAATTAATTAACGAAATTATTAAATAATTTATATTTTAACACTTTAAAAATTAAACTAAAATTTTGAAAACATGTGTTCATTAATAAAATTTAGCGTTTATATTTTTTAATTGGATTGGGATCCCAAAACTCTACAAATTATCTCTCTTTGTCCAATTTCTTCGGTTGTGTTCCAACAATAATCGAGTCTATATTTGAAACTTTGGATTTTATTTTTAACCTTAAAATGTGATTTCTTCAATTTCAAACTGAACCAAACCGAATTGTAATTTGGTTTTCGGTTTGGTCTCAAATGCCTTAAATTTGGTTTGAACCGATTTTTGATTTGCACTCCAAAAAAAATTCAAACAAAAGAAACCTAAAAAATTATAAACCAAACTAGTTTTCTTCCATCCCCGTTTTGCAGCAACTACACACATGTGGTCTTATTCTTTCTTTCAACATACATTTGCTATTTAATAATTGGGGTTTCGTAAAAAAAAACCCATATTTTTCTTAAAAAAAAACCCTTAGTCAAAAGAGGGTGGGATTTAGGGCCTTTCAAGAGAAACTTGAGAAACCACAAACTCTATAACTTAAACTCTTTATGATTTCTACAATTTCTTATGTTGATTTTGTATGTTTTTACCGACGTTCCCAAATCTAGGTAAACATTGCTCCGTTATTGCAATTTCTTATGTTGATTTTGTATGATTTCTACAATTTCTTATGTTGATTTTGTATTTAAACTCTTTATGATTTCTTCGGTTGTGTTCCAACAATAATCGAGTCTTATTTACTTGAATCTGCTAAAATAGCGCATATAATCACAGTCAACTAACTTAATTTTGCACATAAATGGTAAATTTTATCGAGTAAAATGTTTATCTTTGCTATTGAAATCATGGTATTAAGGGATTGCATGACACCATTTTTGCTGTAATTAAAGCTTATGATGGTTTCCATATATTTTCTTGACATATGGTGGAGGTCCAGGGGTAATCGGGGAAAAAAATTATGGGGTAGGTAATGATTTTAAATCCAGAATGTGTCACACTTGATACACCAATTGTCAATGACCTAGATAACATGCATGATGGGAAAGATTTACATCTTTCTGTTGTTGATAAAGGTAATTTTTAGAATAAATAGTTGTTAATGTTACAACAAATATCAAACAACCCTTAAGCTATCTGATTATAGTTAAGAACACTAAAAAAATAGTAGGAACCATGACATGTAATTGATTTGAGATGAGGTTTCTTGAGCAATCATTTTGTCGGACATCGTGGTAGTGGGTTCTTGACGAAGGGATGGGGGTGAGTTTTATCGGAGAACTGCAGGCTAGCCGATGGGTTTCCTTCTCCCATGAGTTCGTCAGTCTTGTGGATTTTGTTGTACGATTCCTCCAAGTTTATAGGTGGGTGTTCCATTGGATGAGGGATTTCACCGGTGTTATTACCATTTTCAAACATGTCACCATCACCAAGCACAAATCGTTAAATAAATACTTTAAGAGTAAATAAAAGCATGGTGGTTTCTGGAATCATAAGAGAAATTGGATTTTTAATAGGGTCGTGTAATTAGGGATGACAATCGTGTCATATACGGGTTGGCGGGTCAAAAAAAGCAACTCAAACACGACCCATTTAATTATACGAGGCACGGGTTGGCGCGTTTGGAACACCAAACCCGTATACGACCCGTCAAACCGTTTATTTATACGGGTTCACGGGTAAGATTCGGGTTCGTGTGTCAGATTCTGGTTCGTGGGTTAGATTCCATAAATAAAATTGATAATTAAACATGAATAAATTCCAAAATTTTAAAAAGATGCAGACATATCCACATTTTAGAAAAATAAGTCTTAACATCAAAATAAAAATTAAAAACATTCATACAAACATGTCCAAACTAAAAAAACATTAATATAAACATAGATAAATTCAAGTGCTAATGTAATAGCCACAATTCCTATTTTTTCTCCTAAAAACAAAGTCTTTTGTCAATTCTTCAACACGGTTTTTTTTAACGGAAAATACAAATATATACTAAACTATTCTTAAATTATTTCACCTATGTCCACAATGAGACTTGAACCATCGACCTCAATGAATGAGGACAACACCGGATACCGCTGGGCTAGAAGCCCTATGGTACGATT